GTGCGATAGAAATGAGTACTCATGTTCGAAAGAGCACTTTGGATTCCTCTTCATTGAAATGAACAAGATCTGAACGTGTATAATCTTAAAGCTTTAGCCTGTAGCGCAGTAGTTAGAGGTGCCCTGCACTACGCGCGGGTTCGATCTCGCGTCCCAGGCTCATCAAGCCTTTTATTCCTGCGGAAACAGCAAACTCGTACCAGACTTATTTCGGAGGATAGAAGCACTGACTGGTCATCAAGGCAATTCTATAGCCCAAATATGGATTGGATCACCTTCAACGATGTTGATGAAGTCGAATGCAAAGAGCATTCCTCAAGGATTGATTAACGCCGAGTGCTTTATTCTTTACCCTTTCTTCATGCTCACGACTAGTGTAATGATACAAGCCAATAGTAACTGGATTCACATCTAACGAATTTAAAGTAAGACAATCTCCATCCAAAGTCTTTGGACTATAGGTGGATTCTTACTAATTGCAAGAGTTGTAATGTGCTTCTTATTGATAAATAAGATACTGTGTACAAATACGTCTTTCCTGCTCCTCAAAGCGTAGATCGGCGTTGAGAGATGCTCCGAAATCGCTCTCTAACAATTTTAAAGTAAATCTGTGACTTTAGTGAAATTTCTGTCAAAGATTCGTAGTTCACCCTAAAGAATTCAGTTTCGTTTTAAAAGATAAGAGAAATTCGGTGAGAAATGAGTGGGAATCCGAAAAACAGACCAGATAGTGAGTTTATTGTTGCCTTATATAGATTTATTGAATTCATAAGAAACAAAGCAAATTCCTTATTTGTAGAATAAGTGTCGGTTTCAAGTTTATTCAGTTTATCAGTTTATTCATTTCAGTAAAAAACGTTGGACTTGAAGAAAATGTAATAACTTATGGTAGAATTTGTATTACGAAGAAATCATGACTTTACACGACTAAGTGAGAAACACAGCAAAGGATTTGAAGCGTGATAAAAAACGTTAACATGAGAAGAACGTAAATCAGCGAAATATTTCTGAGTTTTGAATAGCCTGGGAAAAGCAGGAAGGGAGAAATACGGAGTTGTTGAGGGTGCTGTCTATCAGCAAGCAAGACATTGGTTCGACCCCTTCACCAACGATCTTCTCTAATCGACATGGGAAAGCGTTAGCACTGCTTCTCCAAGACCGCAAGGAGAATCGACTCAACCAGCACTTTATGACAATCGTAAAGAGGAAATCCTCAAGCAGCGGGAGAAAACACGCGAAATGTTCGAAGACCGTTGGTGAAGATGAAAGCGAGAAAAACGAATCGAATGCAAGAAGTGTTGGAAGTTGTACAGTAGATTTAATAACGGACCATGTAAAGAATGAAACAATGAAGTGAATAGTAACTAGGAAAAGAACATTGCACTTTAGTTTCATAAAAGTTTAACATCACTCTGACAACGACAAAGTAAATAAACTTTCGTATACTTACACAAGACCTATAAATTCTAATGATGTCAAAATCTTTTTTATTTAAATCTAATGTGTTGGCCGCGTAGTAGAATATAGATTTTCGAGCCAGTTTTCCTTAAAAGGATGAAGGATAAAGCTCTCGGCGCTGACAAATCCCTGACGGATGCACTGTGCATTCGACTTCATTAATCATCGTTAGATGTGATTGAATGCATATCTGGCCTTTACAATGACTCGCGGTGGCGTACCGATGTATCAAGGCAGTGCTGCTATCCTCCCAGACAAGTCTGGTACCAATTTGCAGACTCTGGAGGAATGGAAGGCTTGGGGAGGCTGGGTGCGGGTGTCGATCCTATGTGTGTTGCAGTGAGCAGTGAGCCTCACGCGCCGTAACACGATTATGCAAGTGTAATGTGAAATAAGCAGTAATAGTATGAGAAGTTGACACTTTTGAAGACATATGTGAGATTTACACATTAGAAGGCGCGTGTAGGATTATAATGACGCGTACCTACAGTATGACGAATTTAGCACACCAGAGGCACACACGTAAGATGTTGTACATGTAAGATTGTGATAACATTGCCATGAAGTCAACGCATTAAAGACTTCATGTAAGCTTGCGAAAACATTGAGTTATAACGACCGCACAATAGGGTTAATATATTAGAAGGCACATGACAGTAAAATGGGGTTAATCCTAAACGTTGTTACGTGCAGATAGAGTAAACAATTTTGGGATCTTCTACAAAACAGTAGGACAGATATGATGAGTGCAAAGATGCTAATCGAACAAAATGCATCATGATGTGAACGGTACGACTAATACATAATCGAATGGGGTGACGCTAACCATGCTTAGACGGGCGGGAAGACAGCAGAATCGAGCCATCAACCCGCTATTGCCGTACCCGACGGACTTCCCAGTGGTTATGGAGAAGTAACAATGTGGGGCAAGGACTCGAACGTTGGGTCACGTAATTTGCATTGCAAATGCTTACATAATAACGTTGAATAAAGGTGCTTAATCTATACAGGAAGCTGTTTGCAAAAATATGTACTCTGCTCTACAAGGTACGGAATAGTCTCTATGTCCAATATATTCCGAAATACGATATATTTCAAGTTGTAAACGATCACAAACTTATGAAAAGTGGTTCATCCAGTAGGCTTCACAGATAAATCAATGGTTAAGAGTTTAAATGAGGTCTCAGGTAGTAAACGAGAGCTTTTTAATATCGTAGCAGAAGGACGAATTGTTTCTATGGAGGATTCCATTACAACCTGTTTTCGCCAGTGCAAAAGCGATTGCTCGTGAAGTCTAGAATTAAATGGCTTACTCTCATTGATTTTTTTTACTACCATCAACTTGAATTGAACTGGTCTCAATAGATAAATGTGATCATGACCGAAAAAAGGCTTAAAGAAAACGTACATTAGTGGGAGCAAGTAATAGTAGCTTATACGGTCGAGCGTTTCCTTATTACAACTCTCGACCAAGCTATATAGAGGAGATCTTTTATTCTCCATTATATTTACATTAGCTTATTAAATAAAGGATAAAGCGCTCAACGCTCCAGCAGAGCTAGAGGTGAATTAATGAATAACTGGCATATACAATAACATCCAATGGTTTACCGATGTATCACTTCAGTGCAGTTAAAGCTCCGGATTAGTCTGGTACCGATTTATCGACACGAGATATTGATGGCTTTTTTTTTGCCAACGGCGTAGATTTGAACTAAGGTTCTTTTTGTACACATACTGCAATTCTAACCACTACGCCACATGTGTACAGGATTCTGTCATAGGCAACTGAAAAAATATGTTTTCATAGTCGAGCACTGACTGGCAATCATATATAACGCGCCCTTCACATTCAGGTTCTTTCGCGGGATGAAAACTCGGGCTATGGCAACAGGTTGTGTGTTATCGAACAGCAAAGAATCTTGTAACGATCTGCTCCACTATTTGCTCTGTGCCAGACTGTATAACAAACGTCGCTCTTGCTCAGACTTGTTCAATTTCAACACTACCGTCTGCGTGTTAAGAAAAGTTCTTACATCGCTGACGACTAACAATATGATTAATTATTAAGGAACTCATATAATGGACTATGTCGAATTGTAATGACTGATGCGAAACATAAAAAACTTTTATAGAAAGACGTTGTGTTTATTGGGTAAATAGAACTTTGACAGGCTAACTATCCCTTAGCTCGCTGATGCTAGCGATATGTTGACCACAACAATATTACTTGATTTCATTTGAATCATCCTCAATAAAGAACCATGAGCATCAAACGCGATTTCTATGCGACCAGTACTTTGCTAGATAGGCAAGTTTTATTCCTTTTCCAAGTTGCAAGTTGTTCTTCTCAAGATAGTAGTGTCAAAGCGTTCCCAGACGGTCATTAAAGGTAGTTGCCTGTGGTTGTGAATTGACTAGACTTAAGGCCCTAGCTTTTTGAACACAAGTTTTCACCCGGCGGTTGCGACTGATTTCTATGAAGAATGAATTTACTCTCTTCTCGGCTTCCGAAATGAAGTATTGAGCTCGCTGCCAGATCGGATGATTGAGAGATTAACTGCCGTTGTACACGGAAATCTAATGTTTAATTTCTTTGAGCTTCAATTAACAAATCAATTGAAAATAAAGGTTTCCTAGTAGACACCGTCACACACCGTGTTTAAAGAAGGCTTTTAGCTCATCCACACTGTATCCTTCAATTTTCTGACGATGATCACTTATCCGATGACCTGAGCCCTATTAGAGTCAATTGTTGAGGGACGCAGTGGCCAGTATGACCTCTACAGAGGTTGTTTTGCCTTTAGTGGTTTACTTTGGCACACATATGTTGTCCAGCATTCTTTGTAAACAACATATTGCTTCTTCAGGATCGATTTTGTGGCAGGCGTTGGTGGGAGGTACTATTATGTATCTGGAAGTGTACAAAACACCTTTTCACAAACGAATTCATTGACCGCTAATTTGGCTACCAACTGACTGCCGCCTCAATTTTAATCGCCACAATGAATCATTGCATAGGATGAGCAGTTACAAAAAAATACAGAAGTTGACTCAACGTGAGCTAAAAAACACTTCGGAATGCTCACAGCAATATGTTTATATGAAGGACCGTACCAAAACATAATGAATATTAACATATAGACCACTTGTAACTACAAAGCGATAAAAATGTCTCTTCTACAATTCCCTAATGTTCTTCAACCGTCAAATCTTTAGGTTGTCGAAATATTGTCGGAAAACTAACAGGTTGTTAAAGACATGAAGCGAGGCGCCTTCTGTTGAAGCACTCAAGCAGAACAGGCGTCATCGCGTAAGTGTTAAACGGGTAAGCTCCACGTTGAGAACTTCTTACTTCTCAACGATTTTTTGGAAAGATATCACTTTCCGGAAATCCGATCAAAGTTTATCAAACAATATTTCCGTCTAAGCAGCACATATAGTAAATAAAACTCGAACAAATTTTGAGAAAGGTAAGTCGAAAACAATGGAGAAATACCTAGTGGTATTGACAGTCAAATCAATGTATACCACAGAAATGTCTACATAAAGTCGTCTGATAGGTTGCCGTCTTCACTGTCACGTTGCGCATTCCAGTCGACGTCTTCATAATGACGTTGTCGCCGCAGTGCTTCCCGCTCTTCCGCTTCTTTCATTTCCAATGCCTTCTTTTCCTGCTCCAGTTTCCGTTGTAGTCGGCGTACTGCCGTATCTCGCTGTTCACGTTCAGCCCTGAAAATGAGGAAAAAAAGAAATAGGAAGATTAAGAAAAAGAAAAGGGAAAAGCAAAGAAATGTCATAAGAAGAAGGCCCACACTATTTTATCTCACTAAGTTTACAAGAATTCTCGCCATCTTAAATGAACTGTCCTCAAAATGAACCATACAACAAGCCTAAACAGCTCTTTTTGTTCATTTTTTAGTAAGCCGTTGATTTAAAACAATATTCTCCCTGGAGACTCGACAAACTCACGAAAGGGTGTTCGGAGGTAGACACTGTGGTCAGCTGTCAGCTTTTTCGGATCTGAATAAGGTTTATTACCTTGCGGTAAGGTTTCATTTAGGACCACGGCAATTTCTGGCATTTGTTTGCTCCAACGAGAGAGTCCAAATGAAATTACCAAACTGCTTAGCATAAGTCGTCCTTCTGAGAAACAAAACCTAGTTCTACATTGCAATTCGACGTATGAAAAACGTTGAGCCACGGTGGGAAATATTTAACTGTCGAACAAAAGGGAAAAGTCGAATGAATCCAAGATAAGAGAATACTATGAAAATGTACACTTGAATTCCGTCATGCTAACGTAGTCAACAAGACAATGGTGTTACAAAGTGGATTTGATATTGATGCTAATAGTGAAATGAGAGGCTGGTTAGCACGATATTCATACGATGATTCGCATGATATCCTCACGTTTGTGGATGTTTATATTTGAAAAGTATAGTTCAGAAAACTAGCACCTGTAGTCAATATCTTCCTTTTTTTCGGTCTTATTCAATCGGTTTACTATTTCGTTGATTCGTTTCTGTACAACGCATCGTTTCACCTTCTTACTGTCATGAAACCCGATCTAGAAATAAAATACTAAGAAAAAATAACAAAACGATAAATAAACAATGCATATTTGTATACATGCATACATATATGAAAAAATATAGGATAACGCTCTCGGCGTTGATCAATTCCTTAAGAATGTGTCACGCATTTGACTTCACTAAGCATCATTCGGAGATCACTGAATCTGACATATCTGGCCCTTACAATGGTGGCTACCGATGTATCAAGCCAGTGCTGCCATTCTTCCAGACAAGTCTGGTACCAATTTGTAAATTCAGCCATAAAACTAGTTAAATGTTATACAAAAACGACAAAAGTGAATTTCTCGAGCCACGTACAAAGAAAGGTTACTTTATTTCCTCAACCAACGACAAGAATGTAACAGCTCACACATCTTTTGAGCTTGCATTAAATCATTAATACGCAGAAAAACCTCCAAAAGATTTTCCACAGAACGATTCAACCTCTACAACGTTAAATCTTTCACAACGTTAACCTTTTATTTTGTTGCCTACCACAATTTTCATAAGGCTATGATGTGAAATACTCCTCGGCTTAACTGGTTTCAATGCCGATTGAATAAGACCAAGGCTCGCCAAGCCTTCCATCCCTCCGAGGCTGGTAAATTGGTTCGAGACTTGTCTAGGAGGATAGCAGCAATGGCTGGATACATTGGTAAGCCACTGCAAGTCATTGTAAAGGCTAGATGTGCATTCAATCACCTCCATGTTGCTTAATCAAATCGAATGCATTTTCGAATCCCTCAGGGACTGATCAACGCCCAACGCTTTATCCTTTCTCTATTTGTTACAATTTAACTTCTAGAGTGAGTGAGAACACCTCAAAAGTTTCAAGGTATAAATATAAAAAAATAGAAGCAATAGTCAAAACTGCAAATTAAATGTGTACCATAAGGACTTTAAATTGAATAGAACTGCCTCGACTTGAAGGATACCAAACAATCCTGACCAAGCACAGCAAGGAATTAGTCATACCTGACCTACAGCCATGTCTCCAGTCTTCTTTAAGTTTCCCCACATCGTGTACACAATGCCAACATCTGTCATCTTGTTGCCGTCAATGGAATTCGCCTTTACAAGCTGGCAGCAATCGTCAATCTTAACAACTGAGTTCATTCCATATGAACATAAAACTTCATACACGAAGAAAAACTAAGGAATTAAGCAGATGAAAGAGTGATCTAATCAGAAAACAAACGAGAAAAGTAAAATTAAACAGCTACTAGGGTAGTTATAATAATAAGGACAAAAATAATGGTTGTAGTAATAATTACCTACTTACTTGATACTTGGATGGCCTGTCCTCACTGGATGTGCGGACCCCAGCATAATTTTCACTTTTTCGGGTCTTGCTAGTTTAATCACTGTGGTTTCCTGGAGCTCCAAGGTCAGCTCAGTCAAAGTCTGTCACAAGTCATCACCACCACAGGCAGTCCCACTTTTATGGATCAGAGTGGAATTCGCCACTATGCGACTAATTTGGTAATAGGACGGCGGTGGATCCCGATATAGGTTTATTCTTAGCTAGGCTTCCCTATAGAAACGCCAGAATTCTTTTCAGCTTGGGAGACCCTGCCAGCGAGGATGAATCTCTCCACTGCACATCGCAGCCCGACACCTAGCAATACCTCCCAGCCACTGTGAGGCGGTAAACCGTTGGATAGTAATAATTACAAATGACAATAATTAATAATAGTAAACAACTATCTAAGCCAAGATGGAATTAAGAATTAGTAAAAAAGAAACGTTGGAATAGAAAGATTCACCAAAGCTTGTGGAATGGTGTCAATGGTCATTCCTTCTGGCAAGCGAAGGTAAACGTGTGCTGACGACACCTTGTCAACGTGGAACCACACATCTTCTGGCCAACCATACTAAAAACGAAGTTGTAAGAACATAACCTATTCCATCTACTTGGTAAAAATTGACTACAGGAAACAAGAATCACTTCGAAAAACGTTAAAAACCTTTATAAGCTCCTCGTTTTCATATTTATCAACACCCATATACAGCAGAGCCGGCGGATCCACCACGTTCGATGTAAACTTTATCACCATATTACTGGTAACTTTTGAAATGTCAGATAAAAATAGCAGCAAGTAAAATATAGGCAAAAATAGAACAAACATATTCACGAATAAGCCGACGTTTCGGCGGATTTCACCTCCCTCAGAGCCTGGAAGGTCAAGTTGACAGCAATCTATTCGGCCAAACACCTCTATAACCAAACAAAGAAAACGCTAAACCAAAATTTCAATCACATTGAACACAGTTTTGCACATTCACCGCTTTCTATGAATTTTCCACTGAGTGTGTCGTGTGAACACCAACCGCACAGAATTCACATGGAAGCGTAATGTGCCCCTCCTATCAGAACAACAGGCTTATACACTGCCCAATATCACGCTTGGATGAATTCCAGAAATCCGAAAATGAACCGCAGGGAAGAATGCCTCATTATCACACGTGATATTGGGCAGTATATAAGCGTTATTCTGATGGGGGGGTTACATTACGCTTCCGTATGAATTCGGTGCGGTTGGTCTTCAAGAGACATACTCAGTGGAAGACTCATAGAAAGCGGTGAGTGTGCAAAAGAAACCATTCTGTGTTCAATGCGATTGAAATCTTGGTTTAGCGTTTTCTTTGTTTGGTTATGGAGGTGTTTGGCCGAATAGATTGCTGTCAACTTGACCTTTCCAGACTCTGAGGAAGGCGAAATCCGCTGAAACGTCGGCTTATTCGTGAAGAAAGAATAAAAATAACACCTCGCGTTTGCTCAACAAGAATACGAAAAATTACTTAATCAATACCGAGGTTAGTAAAAAGTCGGTCGTGGGAGCACAAACATATACAGGAGCACGAACAAATGACATACCCTATAGCCATAACAATAACATATTTGCAAAACTCTGGAAGGCTGGTGTCTGCGGTGGGAATCGAACACGCTATCACCCTTTCTAGGACTAACACGTACACTATCACACCAAGTGGGCCATCCATTCCGCCTATATCTCAACTAGTTTTCTATCTACCACTGCCATCAGCACTCGCCCATCAACAGGATTGATCTGGAAAGCACAAATCGGCCCGGATGGTGTGCTGGTGAACGCGGTACCCCCGGAAAGAGTAATAGCGCTTTCGTTCTCACTGCAGATACCTGTGATTAGAAGTTTTGCAACAACAACAACCTTGTTTCACAGCAACCTTGTGGTTGTATTTCACATAAAACCTTACCATGAGAAATTGTAGTACGCAGCAAATAAAAAATTAACAATATGAACACTCTATACTTGACACTTAAACGGCCCGTCCTCACTGGTTGTGCGGGCCGCAGTACAATCACCATTTATCGGAGATTTGCTGGCTGAGCCATTGTGGTTCCCTAGAATCCCGAGGTCAACCTGGCCAAAGTCTGCCCCGGGTCTTCGCCACCACGGGCAGTCGCAGCCTTTGTGGATCAGAGGGAAGTTCGGCACCACGCGACTTGGTTGGGCAGAGGCACGGGAATCATATATACATATATATATATATATATGCATATATATATATGTATATATATGCAACACAGTGTGTCAACCCTTGAAAAATCGCGTGTGGCGCAACGAAACAAGATGCATAGGAATTCATTTTCAAAAAAAAAGAAGAGAAATGGAATTAGAGCTAGCTCTACGAGAGCTATCCAAGCAATATTTATCAAATCCAGAACAAAATTTGGAAGAAACATGAATACGAGAGAGCCAAATAAAACCTTTTCTGTCATCAAAGAATTTCCTGGTTATAAAAATGATACGTATATAGCGAGTTTCCAAAACTCCCTATCACTTCACAAACACATCTCCACTAGAAAACATAACAATATTTATTCAAAAACTATATATAATATATATTTGATAACGAGGAACAGTAATAACAACAGTGCATCAGACCAGAGGTACCTAGATTGCCTTGACCGTAGACTCCTAAACTAGTTCACTAGACAATTTTAATCTAGTGTTGACGATACAATCAATAATTGATTGACGTTAAAAACAACGATAAAATTAAGGCAAACAAGCTATAGAGCGACAACTGTTACGAACCGAAAAATATTTAGTACAACAGTTACAACATAGGAACAGCTTTCGTTTACAGGGATGAGAAGCTACAAGCTTAAAATTCTAGTAAGATGAACGTATCGAGGATCGTAGAAGAAACAAACTCGAGGCATAAAAAAACAGCTTTTTAAATGAAGTAGCCATGGAAGTGCTGCAACTTAACAATGAGAAATACGTAAAGAACCGTTTGGATACTGAACAGGTTCATGGTTATGTCAAAATACTATCATTCCGGCCTATCCTATTATTAAGCCAATACCGAATTTCCCAGCTACCTGAAAAATAGTGTATTCAAAAAAAAAGCTGCACCATCAATACATGTCTTCCGATTTTCCTTATTCTCAATTTTCATGGAAAAAATACTATGACAACGACATCAAAATTCCCACTATATGAAGAATAAAGACAAAGTTATTGGCGTTGATCCATCCCTTAGAGATGCGGCATTCATTCGACTTCCTTAAGCATTGTTTGGAGGTGATTTAATGCATATCTGGCTTTTACAATGACTCGCGATGGCCTACTGATGTATTCAACCAGTGCTGCTATCCTCCCGGACAAGTCTGGTACCAAATTGCAGACCTCGGAGGGATGGAGGGTTTAGTGGTTCTGGTGTGCAGAGATAGATCCCATGTGTATTACGGTGCGCCTCCAACCACTGCGCTACACTCGCCCCCTCATTACTACACAGCAGAATCAACAATTCTATTGCGCCTAGATATATACAAAAACATTCCAAAAAAATACACGGCGCATAAGTATTAAGTGAGCACAACAGCGTTTCGGAGTTCTGCAAATACTTCAGCATCATTGTGGTTAAGTAAGTACTATTATCATATTCAATGATAAAACTCCAAATACTTCGTGTGAACTAAAAGTAAACATTTAAAAGACATCTATAGAAGTCTATACTGGCAAACGAAAAGAACTTTTCATTCACTTGCAAAAGTGTAATGCCCTCATGGGTAGGAAAAAAGGTTGTCGATGATTAAATTTAAATAAATTCTAATTGTCGTGTGAAGAGTAGAGGTAATTGAAATAGCTCATACCTTAGCGTGATTGAAGAGACCCGACATCGCAAATGTAAATGGAAGCTGTTGACTCAAACGTTTTTCAAAAACACCACCAACTGACCTAAAAGAAAAACATGGTTGTAGATAACTGCAGAATCAGTATTTGAAAGATCCTTCAATTAGTCCAGCATAAGAAGGGACCTAATTTCCCAGTGAAGAGAAATATCAGAAAAGAAATGACAGCTTAAGTTCGCTGAAAATCTTAGTGGACGATAGGTTCAAGAACGCAAATGGTTTCTTAAAAACAGAATAGTAGGTAGTAATACGTAATATTTTGTAATCAATACGATGGTAAATCTCCCTCGGATCCACAAGGGCGGCGACCGCCTATGGTGCTGACGACCTAAAGCAGATCTTGGCTAAGCTGACCTCGGGACTAAAGGGTACCACAAAGGCTAAACCAGCAAAACTCCAAAAGAATGGACGAGCCATTCAAGTATCCAAATAAGTAGTGTTATGTCAGATGTGATTTCGAGTTGATTACATCAAAAACACTAGTGTACGTAATTCACACCATTGTTTCATAGAAGAAAAGTAAAATGCTAGCAGTACCCTACTAGAGAAGTGATTTTCTTCATAGAACGCAGAATTACCGCTCTACCAGGCCACGAGGACAGTACATTCATGACAAGATGACCCAGAGCAATAAAACTGTTACCCTAGTAACCGATCCATTTCGTCACAAGATGTTAGCCCTTTTTCTTACTGTCATTGTTGGCAATAGATTTTTCAACTTCAATTTCCTTCCTTTCCATCATCGACTCCATTTCAGCTGTTAACGCTTTCCAGCTCACCCTCTTCTATCTGCCTCCTTATTTTTGATAATCCCTGTCAATATACATCTGTAATTCACCACTTTTTCCGTTATTTGTTTTTACCCTTCTGCCTTCTCATCGAAGTGTCAAAATTAGTAATTTACAATGATGTAAGGAAAATTGCTGGAAAAAGTAAGAATGAAAACATACCAGTTGGTATCAATACTGGCTCTCATTGTTACACCTTCGTCAGGCAATTCTGCTTGATAAGCAAACGTACCAACAGCCTAAACTAAGAGTTTGGAAGCGAAAATGGATGGTTATCCGACAGACTCCTTAAAAGGAAACTCAAAGGACATCCAAGGACCAAATGCACACCTCTCCAACATTCGTATTGCTTTCGAATTCAACTCCAAATGAAAGGTTATCAGTTTGCTTGTGATAGTATGTAAAGTGCGCACCTAAAGTGAGTTACATAAAAACTTCTTTATCTCGAAAAATAATCAGCACTAGATCATCGCTCAAAGGTAATATTTCCCCTCAATGGCTTACCACTTTACTCTGAAGATACGTGTTTCTGAACGTTGAAATGCGATGTACAGCTTGGTAGCTTATCCCTGCAGTAGGGTCACCAAATGTGTGAAGTTAACATTTCAATCCAAAAACCCAACTAAGCGCAAGCTTATGATAAGAATCGCTGTGATCACAGGCGCAACACGAGGAACCATTCCATAACGGCCCACGAGTGCCTGTGACGACGACCTAAGAGGGTCAGGTACGAGAAAAATGTGAGGAAAAACTGGCCGAAACAGCAAAACACCCGTCGATTAAAAAACAGCACCCGAATTTTTGTAAATAAGTCATTAGGTGTAATATTTACGTAGATAAGTACTATACTCAGTAAAAAAAAAAAAGAAACCATGCATCTATGGAACCCTAATAGGATTTATTCAACAGTTTAGCAATCATCTGTAGATATAATGCATTTGAGCACATCCACGACATCTACTGGAAAAATTGAACCCAACTATTCAGAGATAGGTCATTTATCTTAGTAACGAGACTCATAAATTTATGGAAAGCAAAGGGTGTTCCATGACTAACCTGAAGATCCAAGAGTGGCCACCGCCGTCCATATCGGAGTGGTGTATCGTAGGCTGTAGGACAACATAGACAATTTTTGACCTGAAAAAGCAAATTGATGAAATTTTTGCAGAATGTGCACAAGGGAAACTGCATCCTACTCTGAAAGAAGGCTTAGAAGAGCTTTTACTATTGAAAGCGATAGTATCTAAAACTTAAGTTTAAAAGATATACAGGACAAATCATGATGAGTGTTAGAGGATAAACGATGACGTTGAATTAGCTTGATCTAGAACGGTGAAACTTTAATGGAAAACAAACAGTGAAATTTAAAAAAAAAAGAAATTATCCAAGGCTTTAGTACACCTGCCTCCTAACGGTTCACCGGCTCATCGTGGCTGGGAGGTTTTCATAGGTGTCAGGCTGCGATGTACAGTGGGATGCTTCATCACCTTGACAGAATCTCCCAAGCTGAGAACGAGTCCGGCGATTCCATCAGGAAGCCCAGCAAAGAGTAAACCAATACCACGACCCACAAACGACCTGGTATCAAACTAACCGCATGAAGGCAAATACCCCTCTGATGCATACGGGCGACGACTGCCTGTGGTGGTGACGACCTGGGGTAGACTTTGGCTAGGGTGACCTCGGGACTTCAGAAAACCAGAATGGCTAAACAAGTGAAACTCCGAAAAAAGGGAAATTATGCTGAAGCCATTCAAGTGTCCATGTAACTTTAGTACACCTGAGTGGGTTTATTGGGTTGACACGTTTAATTCTACCCAGAATGGCAGAACACAAAACAAATTTGTTTGGTTTCCAACAACTAAAACACTGTGGACACTTGCTTGATAACACATCAGACATCCTTTAAAAATAAAAGATGAAGCAATAGAGGCAAAATTGAGTAAAACTCCAGTTGGATGAAAGATCGTGACATCCTATTATAGCCGGAACGGCAAACTGATGTAAAATAAAAGTGTAGCACTGTTTATACCTGGGATTTGCTTGCCGTATTGATATAACAGTTCAGTGCCAACATCGATGTTATTAGTAAGCTTTCTTAACAATTGCCCAACCACTACTCCGCTTTCATTAACCACGTCCGTATTAGCAAACGTCAACCCAAGAGTTGTTAAACGACCTCTGGAAAAGACACGTACTTTTACCTAAAGAAGTCTGAAATATCCGGGAAATAGTACCTCCTCTCAAATGTTCCTTGAGCTCCAACTAGCTTGTTTTGCTGCACTTGTCCTTGTAGGCGGAGACGGTAATTATCACCTAAAAACAGCTTTAACCACCAGCAAAAAGGTTTCGTAAAAGGAACATACCAAACTGGTGCACGACAGTTGCAGTGGTATTGCCGGCGACATCGGTATCACCCAGGAATATTGGGTACTGTTCCTGAGGACCAACGACTTTCGTGCCGACGTAAGTAGCACCAAACCGATAACCAGTGCTTGTAGGCGAAATAGACAACGTGTGTGAAACCTGAATGCGAAAAAAACACTACAACTAGAAATAATAGCAATGTCTACCTATGTCTATGTCTACTTTACTTGGATAATTGGATGGCCCGTCTTCACTGCTTGTATAGTCCCCAGCATAATTTCCACTTTTTCGAAGTATTTTTTGGAGTTTAGCCATTGTCGCTCCCTGAAGGACCGGGATTAGGATGGCCAAAGTCCGGCCCATGTAGTCACCACCACAGGCAGTTGCCGCCCATATGGATCAGAGAGAGATTTGACACCATGCAACTAGGTTGATACCAGGACGGTGGTGATCGGTCTATTCTTAGCTGTTCTCTCGGATAGAAATGCCAGACTTTTCCTCTGCTTGGGAGGCCTTGCTGGAGCGATAAATAAGCAATTCGATGTCTAGGAGCACCTTCCAGCCACGATAAGGCGGTAAACCGTTGGGAGGATGATATCTAGACTTTAGGAAAGAAAGAGGTGACAACTAAGGCAGGCTAACCTGGAAATGAGAACTCAGCCCTTTGCTAATCATCACTTTAGCACCCTCGAAACACGTTGGGAAGATGTCACGTGCTTTCCGATGAAGCTCTTCATAACTCCCTAAGAATATTCATGTTAATCAAAAGGTAATATGGTCATACAACTTTACCAAAACTTGTTGTCTTTTACTAGGAAGAATGAGTGTTACACAAAATATGGGGTTATGTCATAGCACCCAACATGTCATGAAGATTGTGCACTCAAATTTCTAAGCACTAACGATGACTAATAAAAAACTCTGAAAGATTTAAATCGACAGTGTTTAAGGAATAATACAGGCCGACCTGGATTGGTTGATGGTTTCGACGGTACCGCTGTTGATTCACTTGTCGGTTGAGACATGTCAAAACCTTTAAAAGTTATAGCCATGAAGGAAAAATGGCAGAAATAATGAGTAGTTACGCAATGATAAAAATCTTAATAAATAAAGACGTGTTGAAACATAAGAGTTGAAGATGTCTTAAAGATTGATCGACTGATTGATCCTGATTGAAGAAGAGTCTTTCCGATCACCGATCAATAGCGAAAAAGAAAAGGAAAACAGGAAACTGCAGGGAAACAATTTAGAATACAGCAAGGCAGTTGACTGAATCGTTCGATAAGAATGAAATGCGGGACATAGGCGCTATATCTATGACTGAGTATGGTGCCCAACTATTCCAGGATAGCTCAAATAAAAATCCACAAACAAATGAACGATGGGAATCCTTAAGATCCTAATAGACTTTTCATGACGATGATTCAAAAGAACAATAATGACGATAAAACGCGAGCCTAGTTGCTGTAAGGGCGACTCATCGTTTGATGATTTACACTTGATAGGGTTAACGATGGTACCAGTGTTTCGAACATTGGGTTATGTTAAGGGCTTGTGAATTAAAATATGTGAAGGACACTGTAAAAAACGATCTGGCTGATTAAAAGTTGAGTTAAACCAAGCGAAAACTCCCAGCAAAATCATATTGCTTGTCCTTGGCGAGAGCGCTACTTGTTTATCTAGTTTTTGTCCTCGTAAGTCTTCAGTTTTCCATTTTCCTGATTTCAGCTGATCGAATTTGCTTCTAGCTGCTAACGAGCCAAAGTTCAGAATTTGAAAACGGCGATTAATCGATGTTTCTATCGAGATCACGAAAATCGATGTCGATGAAGGCTTAAATTTAGTCTTTTCTACACTTTTACTACTTTTCATTTCAGTACAAATCTTTTTACTTTCATACAAATACAATGTTTTTAAAGCAAACTAACACGATACAGGGCGAGTTTAGCGCAGTGGTCGGAGGCGCCCTGCAATACACGTGAGATCGATCCCAACGCCCTAGGCTCACCATCCCCTCCATCTCTTCGGGGTCGGCAAATTGGTACCATATTTGTCTTCGATGGCTGCAATGACTGGATACATCGTTAGGTCACCGCGAGTCATTGTAAAGGCCACATACACCTTCAATCACCTCCAACGATGCTTAATGTAGTCGAATGCATGGCGCATCTCTCAAGGATTGATCAAGGCCGAGAGCTTTATCCTTTTATCTTTTTACCACGATACTACAAATGTCATAGAAATAACAGGTCAATGGTAATCTCTGTTTCACCATGTGATTCCACGACCAAGTTCAACCTTACATATTTCTGTGCGAATAAATAAATGAGAGTCGATAAATGACAATCCCTAACAAAAATCTTCAAAGATTAAAGTTGCTTTTATTCAATGGGCATTAAAAATCATAATGGTATAGCTGGTCCTGAAAAGAATGGCCTGCAATTCACACAGACCCCGAACTTCGTCACTTTTGGACGGCTGCGTAGATCATGACCGCAACTAGTAGTTATGCTGGAAAAGTGGGGTGTAAAACAGTATCGGACGGATATAGGAAACTAATGTGAATTATAAGTGGAAAATATATGAAACAATATGGAAGTAAACTTTTGTGGCTTTTACCATTAAGTGTATTCCAGTAACGGTTGGTAGCATAGATGTTATCAGGCATAAAAGTTATGGATATCAAATTAAATCCATGGAGAAGGCCTTAGATTAAGAAAAGTTTCAAAAAATGGGTGAGGAGGTACTACCAAATCTGTGTATGTGGGTGAAAGGAAGCTACTGGATAACACTATGTATTAGTAAAAAGTAAATAGCCAAGCCTACGAAACTTATTGATAATAGAATCAAAATGTTAACAGATGAAGTTAAGATCGCTTGCTATAAGTAAACACGTGAAGGTTTGCCATCCACTGGACTCCATTCATAGTATGGTGGAGATGATTTGATTCGTATTTCGCCCATAATAATGACTTGTCAAATTAGAGCGTCTTTCCTCACAGATAGGTCTGGTGTTGATTTGCCGACGTCGGAAGGATGGGAGGCTTGGTGAAGCTGGTGTGTGGGATTGAACAATGACCGAGCAGATGCGTGTTCCAGTATACCACAGGATACCACTATGCTACCGGCGCGTGCTTGAATATTACAAAGAGGAAATCGAAAGTGATGAACGTCGCGAAATACGATATCCACGCTTCGATGAGTAGTTCTGACTTGAGCCGTATAAGATTCACTAAAAATGTCGGATAACAACAATCATTGCTGGAAGATAGGTGTATTGTTCGTAGTTTAGTCAACTGTAGATCGGAAGCGATTTTTTAAACTGAAAATTTATCTATGTGAAGTGACGGTGAACAATCTGAAAATGAATGGATTCAGTTAGGTGGAGGAAGAGGAGGAGAGGGGGGGGGTTTCGTACCATACAAAGAATTTCCGACCTCATCACTTACTTCGCAGTACAGTTGCACTTTCACTGCTTTTGATGTAAAGTGCGCTGAATCAAAGCACTCGAATATACATTTCCTGATTCCTCATAGGAAAAGCTACGCAAATTATTTGCCTCGCTCAATAACATCTGTGTTCTGTAGAGGATATAAAGAGATTTGATTCAATGACCTGACAGAGGCACAGTCCTCACCCATATATTACCCTGTGCGGCTGCTATCTACCAACTAACTGAAATACTTACAACGAACAAACGGTAGGTGTTTAAATGAAGCTGTTTCTTACGCGAATTCAAGTTTATTAAGTTTTATCTGCTGGGGTTATGTAAGTGTTTGACTGAGTAGACGGCATCTCAATTTGACCTTTCCAGACTCTGAGGAAGGCGAAACCGCCGAAACGTCAGCTATTCTATCCTGACAAATTCTAAAATAGCAATCCCGTGTCTGCTTATTGAAGAAAAACATCGATATAAAGAGATTCATTGATTGATGTTTCCGATTGTGAGAAGCTGTAAAATTCATTTATTTTTCTCAATAGGAACGAACGGTGAGCGATAGAAACATTCACCGTTTATTAACTACATAGGGAAGGTCATGCATTTGCCTCCATTCGTAGCATTTTAGGGGTGAAATTGGACCATATAATGACTTGCCACGCCCTACTAATGTATGAAGTCAATGTTCTCGATTTCACCAGACAAGTTTGGCACCAAGTTCTCGAACCCGTAATGATGGAAAGCTTCATGGGGTACGGAATCGATCTAGCGATCGCTCACGTATTTATTTCAGGACACCTCTGACAATTGCGTTAAATGCTCTTTATCCGACAACATGTGCTCACTCCAAGTTATTTATAAAACCCATAATTTATTTCGAAAGCCATCAATGAATTGTCTTCTTTACTACTCCTTCATTTCACGCTCGCACTCTTCGTAGCTGTCTTCAGTTATTGGGAAGATATCACAAATCGCTTGTAACAGTCTAAACGTGCATTGTGGTAAAAAAGGACATGTACATAAGCATACATGTCTGTCATTACAACAGTGCAAAGAGTAAGTCACCGGATCCTGCTGCAAGAGGTGAAGAGTAGAACGTAAGTGATCGGCAATGATGACATTCTAGTAGAATAACGATCTATTGCTCGAGAAGAGGTTCTAGAGCTTTTCTCAGGCAGTACAAACTGGCTGAGCTATTTCAATGCGTGTTAGGGTGAATGTGAAGAAGTGATTAAAATAAATTGTTAGCCGGTTGTTTCGTCTATACAAAAAGTGTCAGACAAGAATCCTTTTTCGACTGCACAAAGAAAGTTCGATGGATAGTGGTGGAAGAGCTTGCACAGAGAAAAACAGCTTCGTCGCCACAAAGCAAGGACAATGAAAGTGCAGCTTTGTGAATCACAGTACGGAGAAATTCTAAATGGCTGATCAAAAAGGGAGTGTAAATGCGAGCGCATGTCTTTGAAGAGAAAGGGACATTCATTATTTCATGGTGAATGATCTTTATAACGACTATGATTTCCCACTATACCACCTCTATACGCATCGACTGTATCATTTCAGAAACCACTGAGTTCACCGCGTTCTGTGTATGCAAGTATGAAGAACGCGTGCAACGCAGCAATGCTTAAAGGTGCCTTGAAACACGCACATGGTCTTTGGTTTTATCTGCGGCGCCAGACTCGTCTACCCTTGTATCCTTTCGGAGTCAGAAAATCGCTTATTGAAAAACCAGATTTCTCTAGCAGTATAGCAGCAATGATTTGATACATGTAGTAGAACACTGGAGGTCATTGCACCTCTACCAATGTTTAGTGTAGTCGAATGCATGGGTCATCCCTCATAGATTGGCCAATGCATTATGGTAAGATTTTATTTGACCGCTTTCCCTGGAAATCGTCATCGTCATCATCGCTCAGTACAGCAACTTCCACATTGATCTGTACGTCTTCAGCTTTCTAAGAACGACGATAATATACGTAGAAAAAGTAACCGAATGTGTCACAAGAAGGTCTACATAGGACCACATAGCAAGTAGTAGCGCTAGTAAAACACAAACACAAACACGAACACACACACACACACCTTTCAGGATGGAAACGCCTCACCTCGACATTAACATTTAAAGAAAAGCGGGATTCTCTTGTTGAAAAACCAACATTGTTCATAGCGTACTGTTTGAAGAGAGGAAGAGTTTACGGAGCCTGATGCGATACAAAATTAGAGGTCGTCCAACATGACTGCCATAAAGCTAGAAACATAAAGCTCTCGACTTTGATCAAGCCCTGAGGGATGCGCCATGCATTCGACTTCAATGAGCATCGTTGCCGGTGATTCAATGCATAACTGGCCTTTGCAATGGCTTGCGGGGGTCTATCGATGTATCCAGCCAGTGCTGCTACTCCTCACAGATTGGTTTGGTACCAATTTGCCTACCCCGAAGGGATGGAATTCTTGGTGGGCCAGGGGCGCGAGGATCGACCCTATGTGTATATAGCATGGCGTCTGCGGCCACTGCGTTACACGCTCCACTACTCATGGTTGCCATACGAAGATATATCTCGGGTGTTATTGTTAAAAATGAGAAGTTGGACTTTGGCTTCCTATATAAATGTCTCTAAATCCTGAAGCAAAAATGATCTGAAATGAGCCAACATGTGTTGTGGTGATATTGAACATTTCTATCGGAGTCGTATGGTTAAACACGTGCCGAGAGCGATCTCAATCTTGTCGCGCTCACAAATTTAGTGGCCCATAGTCATATTTTCGGTGAAACACATGCCTGAATGTCAAAGTGTAAAACAGCGGTGATCCACTCAAGTTGAAGAGTTTGACAATTCCATCAGAAACTTCAACTAATCATTATCGTCCGTCGAGATACACTCTCGTGTTTTCTTGCCTAAAATGGTAGGCGCTCTGGATAGCGAGTGTTTTATACTGCCTTATTTCATTTACACTGCAGGATTTCAAACGATCTCAATTTGAAAATTACTAGTAGTCGACAAATGATTCTGCTGCATTCTGCATTCTGTTTAGAATCACCACATCTATGCTTGCTTAACTTTAATGATGTGCACACCGTATGGCTTAGACTCAAACGAATCTTCAAAAAAGGAGACTTAAAAGGAAAAATTATCGTGATTTGTTTACAATGAAATGTTATGAGAGTAAATATGTTGAAGCAAGGTGATGTAGCGACACTTGGTTCTAAAGAATCGCTATGGCGGAAGCAAATTTGATCGTGATTTCTTTCAAGATATTTAGTTGTTCCGAATCGTGTTGGTTGCTAAGCAAAGTACTTTTTGTATTCCTAAGATATTAATTTAATCTAAAACTCTTCTTCAATATTTCGAAACCGACTTTCCTTGAACCTCGGTGTGACTAATCAATATGTATTCCTTCTCTGATGAGTTTACACGAGGTTGATAATTATATTTATTTTCGGCTAACATTCCGACGTCTTCGTCTTCATCAGAGCCGATGATCCGAGTCGATGGTCCACGCTTGTCGTTCGTTTCGACGTGGCAGCTTCTCCTTCGTGTCGAGTCAGGTCTTCCTCAGCGGGACATCTCCTCGAATGAGGCATACTCAGTCGGTGATGTCCTTTTGTCTCCTTAAATAGTTTCCAAGGTCGACTTGCTATCAACCTCGGCATTGGATTATAAATCTGTTGTTCTCTTTTTTACAGCAATCGCGAGTTGTTATTCAGCACACGTTTACTTCCTCACAAATGTAGCACACAACACAACGGTAGCAGACGTTTCGGCAGTATCGCCTTCTTCGGAGCCTGGATGAGTACACTAATATGTAATTTACTAGGTCAAACGCTTCGGTGACGCAAGCCGAAAGATGAAAATCTGAACAATAGTTACACGATCACTGGTTTCTCGAAAATCCAACCGTTTCATCTGTTTTCCACCAAGTTTATCTGTTCTATCTATCTGTTCCACTTTTGCAATCTGCATTCTGTCATGCAGTCTTTCAACCACCTGTCTTTCTATTTTTCTTCTCCTTGGTGTACTCGGAATTAATTTGGATGTCATGAGAGGTATAAAAGGATAAAAAGTATAAAGCTCTCGGTGTTGATCAATCCTTGACGGTTGTACGATGTATTCGACTTCTTCAAGCAACGTTAGAGAAGACTGAATGTGTATGTGGGAGACGCAACCTGCACCCGACTTCATCTATAGTACCGTAGAGGTGGATGAATGCATACTACTGGTCTTGGAGGGTCCATTCCATGTGTGAAGATATTGAGCTCCAATCATCCTATATACGTATGGTGGTAGTCTACTGAACCCTGAAGGCTAGAGAGCTTAGCTAGGCCAAAGTGTGCGGGTGAATAGAGGACCCTATGTGTGCTTCATGGCATCTATGACCACTGCACCACAAGCGGCTTACTTTGTCGGATATCAATGTTACAGCAGCAAAACAAACTGAAATTACCACTTCTTTAAATCAAATTTCCAATTGGCACATATTTGTAGAAACTATTAACTAGACCTTGATGTTACAGAGGCATCTAATACGAAGCGGCACTCTTTAGCCAAGACGGTATGCCATTTTTGGATCAAGCAAAGTAAAGATCCCTAAAGTGGCTTCCTTAGGACACGAAACCCCACTTATCAGTTACGGACGAACTGCAAGTATAATGGAACTTGCTTATACGTAAGCATGATCGCAAACGTTTTCATGAATATAATGGTTGGATTGCGTAATATATAAGTAATTTCAAAGCAGTAGAGACAAGCCGATCTTCTACAGAATCTTCCTGCACGTCAAAACTTGTTCGATATCGCTTCTGATCTTTGCATGAGCAACTGCTCTATTGGGAAGCGCGCCATGTAGCTTATGCTCCTGAAATTTCCTACGTAAAGGAGGTCAGTAGAACCAATAAGAATGTATCGAAAGAGTACCTTTCGCAACGACCAACTTTCTGGCAATATCGTGAAATGTCATGCAAGAATTCTCCTTCGAGGGATTTGAGATCAACGACATCAACGAGTGATACGTATCAACTTCGGTGCTTTTACATTGGCTCTAACGGGAAAAAATATCTATCTCACAAGAAAGTTGCACTGAAGACGAGAACTGTGTTTTCTATGGTGACGTCAGATGTTAAAAACATTGCCTATTACCAACTAATTATGAAATAATATTTTACTTCTTCTTTTCTGCCTCCTATAATTTTTATGGCAGGGTATTAAGCGAAACAGAACCACAAGATTGCTGAGCTGAGATATTTGCAAAACTCAGGACCGCATGTGTCTGCGGTAGGAAACGAATTCGCTATTGTCCTTTCTGGAGAGTAACGTATTCGCCGCCACGCCATGCGGGTCCGTTGTTTCGTCTGTCTCTCAGCTAGTTCTATCGATCAGTGCCATCAGCAATCACCCGCCAACGGAATTGATCTGGGGATCCCACATCGGCATTGAACCCAGTTAAGCTGAGGCTGTAGTTGAATTCGTAGCGCATTAGTTTTTATTTTCTGAGAGACAGGCGAAACGAAGGACCCGCATGGTTTGGTGGTGAACGCGTTACTCTCGGGAAAGGACTATAGCGCGTTCGTTCCCCACCGCAGACACCTGCGGTCCGGAGTTTTGCAAATATCTCAGCAATCTTGTAATTATGAAATACTTCCGAAGAACACTAAATATCACACCGCTGATATGATCCGGAACGAGCGCATTGATTTTTGATATATTCTCCTGCTTCACTTATGAGCTTCTGTTTTGATACCACGCCACCAGCCCCATCAGTATTTCCATAGCTTCCTGTGCGGTGGATGTCAGCTTCAGGATTTCCTCCTGTTGTGTTTTCTTTGCAATCGTTGCCCGTAGTCGTTGTTTGTTTCGAGTATGACTACGTCTGTGATTCACGAATCGTTTATAGCTTCGAATATAGCCTACGACTTGACGCACGAACACGTTTGGCCTGAGAGGCGTTTACGTCCTTTTGGGGCAAACTCTTTTGCTCCTCTCATTGATTTTACATCCAACTGTTCTTATTACACAAATGATCTTTTTCTGTTTCGCCTACTAAAGGTGCTATTCGTTTTCTCAAATCTCAATCAATGAAAAGATAACTTTTGGATTTCCGAATTGTGCAATAGAAGTTGTTATGCGTTATAGTTATATTTCAAAAGCCATCGCTCAAGCGCGATGCATGTGTTGATCGAAACTCTTGTCACTGATGAAGTATCCACCCGTTTATAAACCGCACAGCATAGCAACAAGAGGACGTTTAAGTCAAAAAGTGGACCGGCAACGTTACAGCTGCGTCATTTAACCAGTGATTTTTCCAAGAGCGCCTAATGAGTTCCACGGGTGCTCTTCATTCTCTACACAATTCCGTCTCTATGTCGTTTACCACTTTCATAGAACGCTTAGGATGTGGTGTTCGTAAACAAAGAGCGGCACCGATTGATATTTGTTCTCCATCACACCATAGATTTTTCATGAACCGAGCCGCGCTTCGATTCAAGCTCAATGAAATACTTTCTGTGTATCTGCTTCATTTACGCTTTTTGAGAAAGTGACGATGTCGCAGTAAGACGAATACTTGGCGGCTAATTGATATCAATGCGTACGGCCTATTCGTCACAGCCGAGTGACTTCGTTAGTCATTCCAGCGATGACCAGCGTCCTTCGCGAAATGGAAGGGATCGATGGAAAAGCTGCCTTTCAGTGCTGCAGTTGCGAAACAAGTACGTTCACTTTTCGCAATGACAATGTGGAAAAATGCAATTAAGCTCGTTGTTGGAAAAATCCTGTACATCGTCTGAAATAAATATTTGGAGAAAAGAAGCGCTATCGAAAGTCCTTGCTTTGTTTTTTCCTCAGATTTTTCGATCGTGTAATGATTAGGGATTGTTAGGTTTTTCTAAGCATGTGCTATTACAGATTCCTTGACAAGGCATTGTTCTAAATCGATCTGCTAGCTAACGCTCTCACTTTTCTGTAAAATTTTTTATTAGGAAGTACATACATGAAGATGGGACTGGTAATCATAAGTGGTCTATCATCTGTGAGTGAAGGCACGAAACTGGAATGTCGCTGAAGATATCCCAGTCAGGTGACAATGATTGCATCTCAGGATACCAGTACTCTTTTTTGTACAGCGAGAAATTCAATGAGCGTTCGAAGTATAGTTCCCATCCATATGTAGCGTCTGAAAAGTAGCTATTCATTGATAGGGACTGTCTTCTGTGCTTAAAAAAAGAAATGACTGTATGGTTCTCTAAAAATTGCTCAAACTTCAAATCTAAGCAATGAAATAAATTAAACGGCTTGCAGAGACCAAATATAGCTCAAATAGGATAAGTGTGTATGTTCTTCAGTATCTATTCCCGCATAGCTCGTTATCGTCCCATCTAGTTCCTTTCTTTCTCTAACTCTTCCAACAATCCTTCCTCCTGCAGTTAGTTTTCCACAACTTCTTTCCAACTTTGTTCAAGTATGCAATTATGTTTCTTTTTGCCATAAATTCCTCTACCTTTATGACTACTCTTCGTAGTGGCTCACCAGCTCATCGTAAATGGTCTGTTTCATTGCGATGTACAGCGGAGTACTATTCCCTCAATACGATCTCACAAGATGAGTCGGATGTTTCCATACGGAAATCCAGCTAAGAGTAAACCAACATCAGGAATCACCAGCTTCCTGTAATCAAGCTAGTCGGCTGGTGGCAAGACCCTCTCTAGTTAACAAAGGCCGGCGAGTGCCCGTGGTGGTGACGATCTGAGAGAAACTTTGGCTTAGTTGAGTTCAGGATTACAGGAAACCACAAAAAGCATCAAACCTCTACCTTCACTACCCACCACACTGCGTACCCCCATCTACGATGTCGGGTGGTAAGACAACCGATTAGAGGCGATCAAATTTTGGGTTCCAAAGAACGTCATTCGAAAACGAGAAAACCACTACACCCACGACACGCTGTGAGGGCTGCTTGTTGTTCTGCACCTATAACATTAGAACAGTCTCTTGAGACGCCGACTTTTACGTTCTTCTTGAGGTCATAGGTCGTATAAAATTCTGTGTGATCGCACCTACAAGAAAGGAAGAACAGGAAGGCAGACATGCACCATTTAGATGACCGGGCTCTTTTCGAAATTTTGCGGTAAAAATTGTCGGAGGCGTTGGTGTTGTCGATTACTATTTCTATCTATCTATTTCCCATCTAGTCACCTCATACGAAATCCTCACCGCGTTTCGTCATTCTTCGAATCCAATTTTCCCGTCAAAAAGAAAGTACCATCAACAGACTTGTATGTCTGATGATAGAGAACTGACCATGTCCTACAAATAGTTAGAGGAAGTAATTTGCAACGAGATCTTCTGTAAATTCATTGTTGGAGACTTCAACGCCAGATTAGGAACGGCCAACGAAATTAAATAATATAGACAACACGAAAAATTTTTGAATAGGAGGACGAAGTAAGAATGGAAACTGTTTTGTAGGACTCCTGTCTGCGCCACGTCTTTTCCATGAGGATTAATTTTTCGAGAGGAGAGGAGATCGCTAATGGGCGTGGGAGTCTCCTAACGGCAGGACTCATGCAGAGATCGACCATATTCTAAGGAACGAATAATAGTACCTCTTTGACACTTCAGTGGTACCCAAATCTTGTACAGAATCTGATCATCGCCTTCTCCATGGAAAGACTCGATTCAGCCAAAAGCTGGAAAAAAACTCCTGTCATCGTTTAAGGAAAACGAAAAAAGTCGTGTATGACCAGGATATTTTCGATCAGATCCTTTTCTGATGCGATTGGCAGATAAAGGAAGACCCGACTGTGGACTATACGCTATTTATCGAAAGATTTAAAACTTGTACCAAACTGGTATCAGTTCCGCAAACAAGAATTTCGGACCACATCGCTCATCACCTCTAAGGAGTTTTTCAAAAAGAGAAAAAACTGGTACTTAATCCCGTTGCCATAAGTTTAACAAGTTATTAGAAGGGGCTCAAAAAAATCTAGAAGCGATGAAGAAGTACCGCCTGGGCTTGTGCAATTTTAGTGCTTCGCTATCTGCATGGATTAACGAAGATGGATTTACAGAGACCACCTCGTACGTGTACCTCGGACGTCCAGTGAATATGGGAAACAAAACAAAGGAAAAAATTAGACGGAAGAAAAAGAGCAGCACGGACCGCCTTCTTTCCTCTCGAGGAAGCCAACGACCTACTAACGGACCTGGAAATCTGCGCTCACCTTCCCGATTCGACAGCCCTCGCTGCCTAAATCGCAAATCGAATTGTAATAGGGAAGGACGAGAGGAGAGTAAACTGTAATGTTTATTGGAAAGGACATAACAGTCTTGTTTGTATGTGGTCAGGGGTGAAAGGACTACTTTAGGAAAATAATTTAGAAAAGAAAGCGGAAATCTCATAGTGTGAGTATACTGAAGCTGTAGGCAAGCTTACGATGATCGACAAATCGTTCTATTACAAAAACGATCTCGAACGCAGAGTTTTCTTTAATTTTGAAAAAAATACCATGTCAATGATTATAGTATGACGAACACTATATTATGGAATTAAGGAAGTGCACGCACTATTCTTTCAACAAGAATTCCCATCAGCGTCGAAGCAACCTATGCAGCACATATACGCGCCCTGTGTCTAGGCGAATGATGTAATGAATTCTTATAGATTGGATACTTCCTCCACTACTAATAACGCGGCACTTGTAATTCAGTGGTACGGATGCTGTTCGATAGCGGACACTGCCGGACCACGGTTCCACCCTGCAAAAACCCGTCAAGATTTTCGTTGCGCGGATCATGGAATTATTACCCTACTTTCAAAGGGCGGATCGTTTTCTTCCAATCCACTTGAAAACGTCTTAGTACGCCTACCGCAGAGGTTTGAGGAAAATTTACTCGTTCAGCTTTCATCGACATTCGTAAAGAATTCCAAAATTTTCAATAACAGCCGAAACCATATGTAAATCAACGACCTTCGTGGACGGCGGATGCGAGGAAACGAGTAGACTGTTAGAGGATTGCTGAGATTAGTACTATATATCACATGTAGGCATGCAAAAAATGAAATAGAGATGTCGTTCATAATTATTCACTCTGGAATTAAATGGTTGTCGCTTTGGAAAAATATTGATTTGCAATGTGTTAGCTATAAAATACGGAGTGCTGTTGGATCAATTGCCAGTATAAAAATGGGTTAAAATTACTATCAATAGAGCGAAAAGCGTCCTATACAAAAGGACAGTGCCAGATAACGACGAAATGTTGACCGAATAAAAGTTTATGTAATAACATCGTTTTAGCTTAACAATCCAAAAATATAAAGATATGCGATCATTAATATTAGTTATTACTGGATGATCCTCCCAACGGTTTAACGCCTCATCGTGGCTAGGAGTTCCTGGGTGTCGGACTGCGATGTAGAGAGGGAGATTCATCCCCTGGCAGGGTCTCCTAAGTTGAGAAGGAGTCCGGCCTTTCCATCAGGAAACCCAGCTAAGAGTAAACCAATACCAGGGTCCATCACCGTCCTGGTATGAAAATCGCATAGTGGTAAATCTCCCTCTGATCCACAAGCGTTGCGACTGCCCGTAGTGGTGAAGACCTGGGGCGGACTTTGGCCAGGCTGACCTCGGGACTCCAGGGATCCATAATGGCTTAGCCAGGAAATCTCCGAAAAATAGAGATTATGCTGGGGTCCGCACAACCAGTGAGGACGGGTCATTCAAGTATCAAGTAAGTAAGCACTACTAGATGATAGCTGCAAGCACCTATAGGTTAAAACATGGATAAGAGAAAGGAGAAACGAAGGACCCTCATGGTGTGGTAGTAAACACGTTAGCCCCCGGAGAGGGTATTAACGGGCTCTATCTTCATTGCAAACATCCACTGTCTGGAGTTTTGCAAATATCTCAGCGTCACTGTGGTTATGTTTTACATCATACGCTGCCACGAGAAAAGAATAGGCAGTAAATAAAAAGTAACTACATTGTGACTAATACTTGTGTTATAGGGAAAAAACTGAAAGAAGAAACGGATACAAAAGTGCTAAGATGCCTGCGATTTCGGCTATGGTGGAATCCAAGCTTTTGCGAGACACCTGAACAAAACCTACCACTATCTTCATAATGTGTATAGCATAATATGATCTTGTCTTGATCTTGAATCAAATGCTAAGGAATCAATATGCCGTGTAACACATCGCTTGGCGTCCCTGCATAACTATTTAGAAAGTCTGAAGTGTCTTCCTTAAACTTTTTACCAGGAAAGGCTGCTCTAAATTGTTAGATTCTCCCATGCTTCAATGGAAGCTAAAGCTTCGTAAAGAAGTGAAATTCGAAGTAGGAAGTAGAGCAACGATTGTGAAAATTTTCGTGAAAAAACTTGTAAAAAAAATTGAAAAAAATTGGCTCCCGATCTTAATATTTTTATTTACTGCCTTTCTTTTTAACGGCAGGGTATGTTGCGAAATATAATTTCTATAATGCTGAGACATTTGCAAAACTCCGGACCGCAGATGTCTGCGGTGGGGAACGAATGCGCTATTGTCCTTTCCGGGAAGCAACGTGTTCACCACCACACCATGCGGGTCCTTCGTTTCGCCTGTCTCTCAGCTACTTTTATCGATCTTTTGCTTTCGATATCGTTCGTTTCCCACCACATACAGCTGCGGTCCGGGGTTTTGCAAATATCTCATCATAATAGTAGTTATATTTCGCAAAATACCCTGCCGTTAAAAAGAAAAAAAAGGCAGTAAATAAAAAGGTTAAGATTATGGTTATAACTATAGCCTCAGCTTAACCGGGTTCAATGCCGATTTGGGCTTCCCAGATCAATCCCGTTGACGGGTGATTGCTGTTAATAGAAGATCGATAGATCTAGCTGACAGACAGGCGAAACGAAGGACCCGCATGGTGTGGTGGTGAACGCGTTACTCTCCATAAAGGACAATAGCGCGTTCGTTCCCCATCGTAGACAGCTGCTGTCCGGAGTTTTGCAAATATCTCAGGATTATAGTAAAATTGGCTCCTCGAAGACTTAAAAAATGCTAAAAAATCGGTGCCTTTATAATTAAGTGATTCTTGATGAGATGTTCTTACTTTTTTGCTCAGATGAGTATCCTCTTATTAAATTTGGATGATGCCCTTTTATGGTTACATTTTCCGGCAATTCACCTTCGTAGGCGATCACCTCTTTGTAGCGACCGTTCAGGAAAATCTCCTCGTCTCTTTGTCTTCTAAGATACGTGAAACCCATCCTGAAGAAGTTTTTTTGAAAAACGAAGAACTGAAGAGCCCTGACCCTGACCAATCTAGTAAGTCATTTAGTCTCATTATTTAATAAAGAAGAAAACGTCAGCTTATTAAAGGCGTAAAAACAAAAACTAGAGTCATTATTTCTTGTCTGGCTTGTTTGATCTGCGTTTAATAATTACCTTAAAACCAGTAGATGTTGACTTTTATTGAAAGGTGGGTCACGTACACGTTGACTTCAGTGCATATCGGGATGTAAGCGCTTACACTATTTATCGGCACTTATTTACACTCACTTCTTTCCATTCTTCTCCCTTTGCCTTTTTCCGACTTCTTATCGCATATGCCGTTCATGGCTTATCAAAGTTTTGTCTTCGAGTATTGATATTCGCATTCGTTACGATGAATGCAGGACTACTTGAGGTGGTTCAAACGACAGGAATCCTTGTATTACTCAGGAAACAACCACATTACTTAAATGCTGCTGAAGCAGATTAACGACTGACCCTTTAAGAAAATCGTCGTAACTCTTTTGTATCCTTGAACAATGTAATTTTGTCGCATAGAACGTGATATTTCTAAGCACATAGTATGAGTACTGCCAGTCGTCCTCTGTTAGTCCTACACGGTGGTATAGAAACCTTTTAGTGGCGTCCTGCATCCAAGTCGTTCCATAGGAAACAAACTGCAAATATTAATGGATATTTGTTTGAGAATTGCATGCTCTAATGTGCTTTTTTTAAACAAGGAGCAAGCATAGCTCAGTGCATGCAATTGTTCTCTTCATGGTTCTTTTTGAATCATGTATTTCATATTATCACAGTGAAGGTCCACCTAGAAATTAGCATTGCCGAAACCGTGCTTAGATTTTTGCTACATTTTGAAAACGATCAATAATTAAAAAGAATACGACATGAAAGTTTTCATAATGAATTGGTTTTTAGATAGATAGAGATAAAAGGATAAACTGTTCATGTTAATCAATGCCCCATGAATGTACCATGTGTTCAGCTGCACGTAGAGATATAGTAGACTGAATGTCTACTTAACCTATACGATGACTTCTGAAGACCTACGGATGTCAACTCTCAGTATTTCTATTCTCCTAGACAAATCTTGCGCCAGTTTACCTAAGCTGGCTAGCTCAAAGAGATGGTTGGCTCAGGCCGCTTGATTGAACCATAAACGACGTGTATACTGCAGGGAGTATCAAATCGTTGCACTCCACACGCATCATTTATACATATTTAACTCCAGTGTAAAATTAAACCTATTATTCCTGCCGAGTTTATAAAATGTGGTAACGTAGGATGTTCGTTATGAGATAAAATGAGGCTTTTATTAGCACACAGTTTAATATAATCTTGGATTACTAAGCTTACACGAGGTTGATACAAAGGTTTATTCGGCTAATGTTTTGACTCTTTTGATCCCGTCAGAGTCCATGGTCCGGGTCGATGTTCCACATGAGTCCGTCCTCTCGATGTTGTGGCTTCGTCTTTGAATCGAGCCCTTCTTCTTCAGTGGAGCACCGCTCAAATGAGGCAACCTCCTCCGACGATGCTCTTTTATACGGGACGGTTGTTGTTGATAACCACTGTCCGTTGATAATAATTTGTGTTTTAACAGTTTAATATATTTTCGGGTAGATACAAAAGACATAAGTAAACTTAGTGTTAAAATTGCTTTCTTCATAAGCGGAAGCGAGATTGTCAACACATTATTTATTCGGCTGTGCTTAGCGTTTCGAAGGTTTTCGTTCTGTTCTTGGATTGCAGTGGGTCACAGTGATAAGCATTCTTCGTAGCTATACATTTTTAATAATTTGCACAAAAAAGCCTAAAACCAGGATTTCAATCTTACGCGGAACAGGTTCATTAAAATATTAGCCCCCAACAAACCCACTGGTACGATCCCGGCTCCTTGGCCTGATTTTTTTCCATCCCTTCGAGGTCAGTAAATTGGTATCAAGCTCGTCTGTAAGGATAACGGTGATATGATGTATTGACAAATCACAGCAAGTTATTGTATTAGTCAGATAGATATGCATTAAATCACCTCTATGATGGCACGAATATGGTTCAACGCACAGCTCATCGTTTGAGAATTAACCAACGTGGAACTTTTTAAGCTACATTTTTAACAATTCTGTAGGCCCAACAGTGCTTAAACAAATGAATCCACCAACTTTTCCAGTTGAAGTTTTTAAAAATTTTATAGCTTTTAACTGAGTTCTTTATGATCATCGTAAGGAACTTCCGTACCGCGTATTTCTGCTCTTCCCCGGAACAATTCCTCCGATGGGTTATCGCCAGAGTTCCATTTGTGCATTGCTGAGTTATGTCGTACGGGAAATAAAGAGTTTGGAATTTACTAGACGGTTGATTTTGCTGCTCTTCTGCTAAATGAAAATCATAAAGCCCTTAAGCATTAACGGAAAAGCAAAGTTCAGCAAAAATTAACTGGAATGAAGCTACAATTCAACTGCACATAAAAATATAAGGAATAATATCGCTGCTTAAATGGCTCTGTAGCCGCCATCCTTGTTTTTTTTTTCTCTCTAAATGTAATTTGTGAATTTTTTAGTTGTTGTGTTCTTCTCCATAGAGTCTCCTAGTCTTCTTCAATATTGTGGCTCAGTGATGCTGAGAACGATGTCATGAACTGCCTCTATTTGAGCTTTACAATTACTAGACAAAAATTTTTGTTAGTACCCTATGATTATTGTTATCATTATTATTATTATTGTTATTATTATTTATTATTTGTACAGTTATTAACTTACAATTATTAACTGCGTAGATGAGAGCACCGGTCGCTAAGCCAATGAAAATAAGAGCGAAGCAAATTTTCAGGATTACTGTGCCCACCTGAAAGAAGTGCTTAGTATCCTATAAGCTTCTATTTAAAATTCAAATGCTCTACTTGAAAGGTTTATCCAAATTTTCTGAATCATCTTAAATATTGCAATCGATGAGAGATCTCTACTTTCGCTATTACAAAGAAATTCTAAAATTATCTTAGGAGTTCGGACAGTGTTTTCCTTTGTGCATTTTATAACCGTTGTATTTATTGCCTTTCAAGAAACAAATGTAAATATCAAAATTAACCGAGACGCTGCAGTGTCAAAGTAACCCTTACGACTAGTGTTGCTACGTGACTTGTCGTCACATCTATTGTGGGTCCCAGTACTTCTTGTATTCGATTCATTTTTCTCGCATTCATCGCTCATAAAGGTTTTCGAGCATTTCGCGTGTGGGTTGGGCTGCTACTTAAGAATTTCGTCTTCTTTAATAATGCCGTAGATTGTGCATGCAATCTTGGGGACAGCCGAGTTGAGACGTTCGCGTGTGGATTGGAAAAAAGTGTTTTGGGTAGGAGAGGTGGGTGGGTGGGTGTTGAGATGAACCGACGCCTTGCCTACTACCCCTGAAGGACTGCATCACTCATTACTTCGTTAGCTCCCTCCAAGTTTGTCTTAATAAAACAAAAACGCCGCAAAGAAATGGCAAGCATTCTTTACCAAAGCAATAAATAAGGTTACTTCCGTGCAAGTTACACGATAAATTTGTAAATTAAATATAAAAAATATATTATATAAAAATATGTATATAAAATACATATTTATAAATGAATACAAGAATAAATTAAAGAAATTCTGACCGAAGTTTTGTCATTTCGCAAGATAATTGACACATCATCACCCCAATCCTCAGATTCAACGTTCTTCTCCTTGTCCTTCCTGGAAATACTGAGAGCGAAATGAGGAGAAACTTTCAAAAAGTATCAAAATCATGTTTTAAAAAGTTTTAAGCATTTTTTGAACCATCTGATGCTCTCTTTAAAAACTTTCAGTGAAACATAATGAACTTAATTGTGTGTTACGGTATAAACAGGACACGCATGACATTAAAGGTTAGGAAACGATACTTCTTAGGTCGAAAGCATTCTTTCTTCTATTGAAGCGTTATATTCTTTTATTCTGAGCAAAAAACACATGCAGTAGGCGATTGAAACTTGAACGCTGTGCAATGCAACGCATTTGCTTTACATTCGACTCTATTCGTTGCACCTTAAAGCTGGTTGAGTGCATGTTTGCCCTGTAATAGCCCTTCTTGAGGCTATCGATGTATCTGTGTTAGTGTTGCTATCATTTTAAATGGCTTTGGTATCAGTTTTTCAGTGGCGGATGAGATGAGGTTTGTTCGACCCAGAACGTGGGAGCATTGAACCAGCGACCAATCAGATATGCAAGGCGGGTGTAACTATTTCGATAAACGTACGATAACCAAGTGGTATAAACAGTAATTTTGTTAAGTAATGCAGCAACCAGAATTGGATGCACAGAATATTAGAGCTAATACCGGGCAGAGTGCTGAGCATTGCCATCGACGGACATCACTTGACATTGATTGGTGTTGTTATCAGTGGCTGTCATCTGAAGCACAATTAATTGAGTATCTGAAGGTTATAAAACAAGTTTAACATCGATTCCAATAGACAGGGAGTTTATTCGGTTGTAGTATAACTTCCACGATAACTTGAATATTAGCTGATTGCTAGACTATTATCTGGTCTCTAATAAGTGGATCAGATCTGAACTAATAACAACATTTTAATTGCTTTCAACCATAACAGAATTCAAGGAATGAGCACAGTTATTGTACTGCTTGGACATATATAGTACCGCATTTCTTACTAATACCTCAGTAATGTACAAACAAGCGCCAACTATATTCCTCATGATAAATTATCTACAGCGGCAAAACGGACTTATGGTAGTGGGGATTTTATAGCTAAAAGGAGCGAAAGGAGGGTTCCGTTCACACAATGTAGCTGCGAAGAAGTAACGTCAGCGCGAGTAGTAGATATAAGTCGACACAGTAGTGCTCATTCCTTTTTTATTTATTTGACGGTGCTTTTTATCTCAGTTGTCTGGTATCTTCATGCACAACTTCCTTAATTCTCAATACCAGATCCTCAAAGAAGGATTCCATGGCTAACGTGCGCTAGTAGTAGATATGGGTGGACACAGTAGTGCTTCCAAATTCAGCCAGCCTTTAAATTTGAGCAGTTTCATAGCTGACGTTACTTCTTCGCAGCTACATTGTGTGAACAGAATCCTCCTTTCGCTCCTTTTAGCTATAAAATCCCCACTACCATAAGTCCGATTTGCCGTTTAACTTTATCGGTGCTATCAGCATCCAACTGTTAACGGCAATGAACTGGGGAGCACAAATCTACATTGGACCCAGTTAGGCCAAAGCTACAGTCGAATTCGCATCTCTAACATCGCCGATTCTCTCAGTGCCCCATGTTCTGTGGAGCAGCTTTTTCCGAAATAACTAACGGTTACCAAAACTGGCTTTATATAACATCAGCATTGATCAAACAATTCACCATATTCTTGTTGACCATACATGTGATCTTACTGGTGGGTGAGCTCTGTGCCGTTGGTCTCCGCGTGTCATACTCAGTGGAAGACTTATAGAAAGCGGTGAATGTGTGAAGTAGCCATTTGGTTCTCAATGCTATTGAAATCTTGGTTTAGTATTTTTTTCATTTGATTATAAAAGTGCTTGGCTGGGCATATTGCAGTAAACTTGACCTTTCCAGTCTGAAGAAGGCGACGAAACGTCAGCATTTCTCTCAATAAAGAATAAAGTAAGAGCTCGTGTTCGCTCAATAACAGTATAGTAAATTTTTTTTATTAGTATAGTAAATTATTTAATGAGCGAAACTTATTTGACAGGACGGGTGCGGTACAGTGGTTGGAGGCGCCTTGCAACACACACGTGGAATTGATCTCCGCCATGGCCCACCAAGCTTTCCGTCGCTCCGGGGTCGGCAAATTGGTACCAGACTTGTCTGGGGGAAAAGCAACACTGGCTCGATACATCGGTAGGCCAGCGCCATGCATTGTATAGGCCAGATATGCATTCAATCACCCCCAAACGATGGTCAATGAAGCCGAATGCATGGCGCGTCCTTCTGGGATTGATCAACGCCGAGAGCTTTGCCCTTTTATCCTTTTATCACAATGTGCAAAACAGAAAGCC